TCTTAAAAATTTAATGTACTGATCTTAGTTTAAAAATCCTTTATTGCTAAAGAAGGCCAATCATTGACTATGTGGGGTTTTCACAAACCTTTGATTTGTAAAAGATGCAGTATCTGTGAAGTGCAATAAAATGAGCTATGCCTGCAATGAGCCTAGCGTAGATCACCATTTTATAGGGGAGAAAACTTATGATGAACGAAGTCACTGAATCAGGGTTTTTGTTTTGTTTCTCTCTTTTGAAGACACCTATTATTTTGTGCGTCCAATATCCACCCCCCTCTTTTTTCCTTGGAAACTGCATTCCCTTCTCCATCCATATGGCTGTCATGAGCACAGTCATATTTGGACCAGATCCTATCCCGTGGCCTCTGAGCCTTTTCTCACAAAGTGTGGGCTGGGAATTATGAGTACCCTGGTTCAGAGTATTTTACTTGTCTAATGGTAAAATGTAAAAAGCTTAGGAATTATTGGTGGCTGGCTTACCGCAGATGTTGGGCAAAGGTAGTTTTAGACAGAGAGACTGGGAAATAGCATTTGCCCCCCACTCCTGTTTTCTGCCCTTCCGCTCTGCAAGCCAGTGTTGCATGATAACTTCCCCTTCCCCTTCAGTTCCAGTCTGCTATCACAGCCTCCCAGAGTCCTAACCTACATTAACAGCTGGTCATCATAACTGCAACAAAGGGCGATCACGGGTTTGAGCTGAAGATCACTGATGTATGACTGTTTCACTCAGAGGCCAGTTTACCTTAGTTCCCCCAAGGAACTAGTGTAGTTTCTTCCTTCTGGCCTCAAACACATCTGAAAAAGAAACCTTGCCTTTTAAAAATACCTGTTAAAAAACAGCCAAATTCATTCAAACAGAAAATTACCTTGAAAGAAACTGAAAGCTAGTTTTCGTTGGTGGTGGTTAATCCGCCTGCAATGTGGGAGACGTGGGTTCGATCCCTGGGTTGGAAGATTCCCTGCAGAAGGGAACGGCTACCCACTCCAGTATTCTGGCCTGGAGAATTCCATGGACTGTATAGTCCATGGGGTCACAAGGAGTCAGATACGACTGAACGACTTTCGCTATACTATACTATAACTACAAAGAGCTTAATCCAGCCATCTTTATTTCTTAAGGAAGTCAATCATAGGGCTTCCCTGGTGGCTCAGTGGTAAAGAATCTGCCTGCCAATGTAAAAGACACGAGTTGGATCTCTGATCCAGGAAGATCCCACGTGCCTTGGAGAAATTAAGCCCATGAACCACAACTACTGAGCCTGTGCTTTAGAGCCTGGGAACCGCAACTTCTGAAGCTCAAGTTCCCTAGAGCCCGTGTGCTGCAATAGGAGAAGCCACTGCAATGAGAAACCCGCATACCACAGTGAAGAATAGCTCCCACTCACTGCAACTAGAGAAAAGCCCGCGCAGCAACAAAGACCCACCACAGCCTAAAGAAATAAAATTATTTTAAAAAATTTTTAAAAAGAAGTCAATCATAGTTCCCAATCTCAATATTTCATGTCCCACTTATGAATGAGAAAAGGAAGCTCTTTAGAGCAGATGTTCATGATGTTGTCTGTTCAAGTGATCAACAAAAGAAAAAGTATACTATTATGTGTGCATGCTAAGTCACTTTAGTCATGTATGACTCTTTGCAACCCTATGAACTGTACCCTGCTAGGCTCCTCTGTCCGTGAGATTCTCCAGGCAAAGAATACTGGAGTGGGTTGCCATTGCCTTCTCCAGGGGATCTTCCTGACCCAGGGATCGAACCTGCATTTCCTGCATTGCAGGTGGATTCTTTACTGCTGAGCCCCTGGGGAAGCCCACTACTATATATACGGAATACTTAAGGGCGTCTTGGACCAACCCCAGCGTGGAGAGAATTGGGGTTACGTTGTTCCCTTTGCTACTTCTGACACCACAGTGCATAAGACTTGGCAGCCTCCAGCAGCAAGCATTTGACTGTCACAATCATGTCATAGGCCCCAGGAGTGACAACAGAGTTCCTCTCCCAGCTGCTTAGAAGTTGGCTATGTGCGCCTCTTCAGCCTCAGCACAATTTAAAAACCCCACCCCTGCCGTGTTAATAGACTGAATATGGTTCTGTATCATGTGGTCACCTGGACCTTCAGGCTTTACATGGTGACAGTCTTCTCTGGGGCTTTGTGAAAGAAAAAACCTCTTACTTAATGAAAAGTGAAGATACTCAGTCGTGTCCGACTCTTTGCGACCCCCTGGATTGTAGCCTACCAGGCTCCTCCGTCCATGGGATTCTCCAGGCAAGAATACTGGAGTGGGTTGCCATTTCCTTCTCCAGGAGATCTTGCCAACCCAGGTCTCCTGCATTATAGACAGATGCTTTACCATCTGAGCCACCAGGGAAGTCTCACCTAATGAAAAGGATGTCTTAACCCTGCCTAACAATAATTTAAGATCTCAAAAACACTGATCAGGGATTGTATTAACATCAGCATGGGAGAGGTTGTCTAGAAAAATATGCAGAGAAACTAAAATATGGGCAGAGAATGGAGGTGAACATACCAATATTTTCCAACCAGGGTGCGTGGGGACTCTTGGGTTTACTTAGAATGTACAAGAAAATAATCAAATTTGGTTAAACAAATATTAAGCTACTTGAAAGACTGATTCGGTCCATAGAAACAATTCCTCTTCAGACACAGACCTAGTTACTGTCCGGAAAGTTCTGTCTAATCCAGCTGACCCCCTCCATTGCTCTCACCCATTTTTAATACTTTTGTTCATAGAGAACAGCTAACTGCTTCTCTTTATCCTCCAACTCTATCTTCTTGATATTCCCCTGTAGGTTCTAGTTTTCATCCTTTAGTTACTCTTATTTAAACAAAAACAAAATAGAACACGGTCTCCACTGACTTAGCAGATATTTGCCAAACTGGTGAAAATTACACTTGAATTTCCCCACATAGGCTTTGGCAGGAATGAAATCCATCTTCTATAATACTCCAGTTTGTAGATTCTTCCATAAAGAAGGATGTTACCCGTCTGTCATCGAGTTTCATCTCATTCATCCCAGCTCCTTCTGGGTGTGCTTTCTGAGGAAAAGCAGCCACAAATGCGTGCTAGAAACATCATGATGGTCCATGAACCTGTGTGTGTGGGTGAAGGACTGATTTGGAGAAGAATGTCTCTGTGACAATGCTGATAAAACCAGACCCACAGAATGGGGTAAGCAGGGGTCTCCAGGCTGAGTGCTGGGCTGCATGCGGGAGTATGAAAGTAACCCAGGTATCTGAAGGTGTGGAATGGAAGGACTTCCATCTCTCAGGGGTTTAAGGCCATGGCTGGGTTGACTAGAAAGGAGGATGGGCCTGTGAGTGGCATAGCCTCCCTCCAGGCACAGCCAGGGTGGGAGACAGGCCGGGCATGCTGGGCCAGGCAAGTTGGGATTAAGCTGTGTGTTTTTCACTTTTTTAAAAAAAAAATCCCTCTCAGGTTTCTTTATACCCTCTCTAAGATTCAGACACCTAAACAACCCCAGGATGGGGAGAAGGACATGATGACCAGTGTTTATGACCTTTGGGTGCCCCTTCCTCACAGGCTGTCTGTGGTCTGAGGTCTGTTTACAGAACTGGACAATGTTAGGAAAGCCTCCAGGTTAAACAATAAAGAGGCAGCTCCTTCAGAGCCAGGAATTGTCTTAAATAAGAACATATAAAAAGAAAAAAAAAACAAGAAAATATCAAGTTCTGAACCAGTGGGTAGATTACTGCTTCAGAGTATTTATATGTTAAATATGCAACCATTTTCTTGAGTTAAAACCCTGTGACAGTCTTATTATATGTAATAATTTTAATAGCAAAGAAAGCTGTGGGTAGAAACCAAATTTTCTGTCAGGCAAAGGTAAAAATGTGAAGGTTTTAGAATTTGTAGTTGCCTTGAATCACAGAGATTGGAGAGGAGTAAAAGTGGAGACATTAATATTTCCCACAATTTTGGACATAAGGAGAAGCAATTTTCTTACCTAATCAGCAAAGATAAGCTTAACTTATTCCTGTATCTCTAAGTAATTTGTTTAGCCCTGCAAATTTGCTGATGAGCAGTTTTAATAAAGCTTCTCAGCAGTTCTTTCTACTGGAGTATGAAAGTAATCCAGGTATCTGAAGGTGTGAAATGGAAGGACTCCATCTCTCAGGGGTTCAGATGGATGTTAAGGTCCTGGCCATGATTAACTGGCCCAGAAGTGTATCCATCCTCTCTATACATTCAGGCCATATGACATAGTTTGGCTGAAATCCAGATGTCCACGGACTCCAGAGTTAGCTTTTTCTTAAGGAAATGCTTACATGAAACTGGACCAGGATACAGCAAAGACCAAGGGAAGAAAGAAAGCTTGAATTCATGACTGCAATATTCTGCAAAATCAGACTTCAACTCCTGTTCAGCTTCTCCTTGGAGCTGAAAATTCCTCAAGTCTCTTCCTGAGAGGCAACCGCGTGAATACTATATTCTCTGACAATTTCCAACACAATTCCATTTAAGGTTATGTGACAAGGCTGTATGATAAAGCTGTGTGTGGGAGTGGGCATTTTATGCCTGTGTGTAACATTGTCACTTGGCTTTGCAAAGTCAGAAATTCCCTGCATATCCACAGGAGAGGATAATCCAGCATATGGCAGGTCGAGTAAATGCCATCCCTTACTCTCTATTCCTGCCTCATTCTTTCTCCCACACTTTAGTTCATTAAGTTGTAAGTGTCTGAAATCATTCTTGGTGAATAATGCCGGACCACTCTGAAAACTTGTGGCTGAGGGCTGGACCCTCGTCATCGCCTCGCACTTTGTCACCGAGACAGGTAACCCATGGTTACTGAGCTCAGATCAGTTAAGGGGCAGAGAGCCTCCGCTCCTCACTGCTCTATAAAAGAGACCCAGCAAAGGGCCCCTACCTGCTCCTAGCTCTCAGCCTGGGTGAGCCTGGGAAGCAAAGCCTGAGACCTCCGGAGCCAGAAGACCAGCTGCAGCGGCAGGGCCGGCATGGCCCCCACTTTCAAACTTCAGGGTCACTTCGTTCTGATCTGCCTGCTGGCTCTACGAGGAGAGAGCCGGTACCTGGAGGTGAGCGATCCCCTGGGGCTGAACCATCTCACCTTCCAACCCTGAGTGTCCAGCCTTGGGGGTGGGCAGGCTGCCTATGCTCTCAGATTATGTTGGGGTCAGCTCTTTCTTCCTCCTTCACTGTGCCCCCTCTTTCCCCGGGTTTCCCCTAGGTCTTCCCGCCTACCTCTTCCCGCTTTCCCTCTGGCCCCTTGGGGATACCCCGATCTGGTGCATACTTCCCATCTTCTCCGGATCCCCCTGGACACATCGACCTGCTCACTTGCTTCTCTGTGCCGTGGGCAGGGAGGGTATCCCCCTTCTGATCCCCTCTCCCCCTCCCTGAACTGTTCCGGACTGACTGATTTTCCCGGCCAGCTGCGGGAAGCAGTGGACCACGACCCTTTTGCACACCTTGGCGGCGGCGCCAGCCCGAAGCGGGAGCTGGAGGGGGAGCCACTGTACCGCCGCGCTCTGCGTGAGTGCAGGCTGCCGGCTGCCGGCAGTGGGGCGGTGGGGGCTGGCCGGACCCCTGGGAGGGAGCTGGATGCCCAGATTGCGGTCGCGAAGGGTCGAAGGGTCGGTCCGAGGAGGTGCCCCTGGGCGAGATGGGGTGACGCTCGGGGAGCCGGGCGCTGAGGCTGGGAGTCGCGGGGGCGCGGAGAGAGGCTGCCCCGGGCGGCGCTGCGGGGGCTGCAGCCCTGGACCCTGGACCGCCACGCCGCTGCCCTCCCGCAGGGTGCGTGGACATGCTGAGCCTCCAGGGCCAGTTCACCTTCACCGCCGATCGGCCGCAGCTACACTGCGCCACATTCTTCATCGCAGAGCCGGAAGAGTTCATCACCATCTACTACGATCTGGTCTCCATCGACTGTCAGAGGGGGGACATCCTGCAGGTGAGACACCCCCGGGCTAGGTGGGCAAGGGACGGGCAATGACTGGGTCCCAGCTACCCAGCAGGGAGAGCTGGTAATTAGATGCTCGGCTGGTGCCCGAGTGGGAACCCCATGCAAAAGGAACCTCCCCTCACTCCCTGAAGGGCTGGTGCCTCCTGCAGGGGTTTAAGTTCCCCTCGGTGACCTCTTGGTCCCCAGCGCTTGTTGCATCCTGGGGCAGATGAAAAGTGGTACAAGTCCATTTAGCAGGAGCGCTCAGGTCCGCGAGACCGTGGCCCTGGTTAGAAGGCGACCTCACACGTCTGAGATCGGAGTCCGCCTTCTCCTGCTGGTCCCTCTGTCTGTGGAATCGTTCCAGGCTCCCAAAGGCTGTCTTCAATGCCTGGGTGACTCGATTTTGGAGCAGAAGGGCACGGGCCACTGGGGCATGATGAGGTGGAATCTAGTCTGAGGCAGGGATGAGGTGTGGACAGTCTTCAGTCTCACAGCATCCCCACTCCTAGTTCCCTGTGAGCCTTAGGGGTCAGCTTGGGATGGTTGTTGGGCTTCTCCAGTCCAGTTAAAGTGAACACGATTAAAACTCTAAAATGGAATTATTTTGGAAACTGTCAAATGCAGTGGAAGAGAACTGATTGGATGAAGGAATTTGTAGCTGCTATTGTTACTAACCCCAACTAGGTTGAACTCATTAAATTGGAGACCTGTGGTGATTTTAAGAATAAAGTCAATAGACTCTGACCTTTTGTCCAGCCAACTACAAACTTCAACAAGTTAAGGAAAAAATTCCTAACTTGCTTACCAGACATTATTGTCTAAGTGTTAAAGTAGTTCTTGATATTGTAATGTGTGATGAGTTTAAAGATGAGGGAAGTGGGTGTGTGTAACCATCAGCAGGTCAGTGAAGTTCTTGCTCCAGTTTCATTCCTTGCTGTCTATTTTTGAGATATTTTGTTCATATTTTAATGAGGAAAGAGAAAAACTGAAGCCCAGATTATGCTCCTGTGGAATTCTTCTGAAGGTAGGATGTGTGAAAAATAATGACCAATACAAAAATGTATATCATCTGTAGTTTTATTTACTAAGGTGGCTGAAATGATAAAGTATCAGAAAGTATTTGCTTTGGACACATTGGAGTTTATAAAGGGGGGGAGTAATAATTAATTAATTAATTAATCATATGACTTGCAAACAATCCAGTCAAAATATATACAAATAGAAAGCAAGTGTGCAGGGGGGTGTAGCCTGTCTATTCCCTACTTATAATTGGAGGTCCATTGCCGGGTAAGCTTTGCCCCCTTTTCAACACACTTGTGATTTCAGGAGCTGATGGAAGTGATCATCTTTGTGTTTTTGTTGGAAGGTATTTGATGGTTGGATTCTCAAGGGGGAGAAATTCCCAAGTTCCCAGGATCACCCTCTCCCCACGACTGAGAGGTACATAGATTTCTGTGAGAGTGGTCTGAGCAGAAGGAGCATCAGGTCCTCCCAGAACGTGGCCATGATTTTCTTCCGGATCCATGAGCCAGGAAATGGATTCACAATAACCATGAAGACAGATCCTAACCTCTTCCGTAAGTGGACTTCCTGTCTTCTCAGTTAGAAGGCAGAAACTGGAGGGAGAGAGTGTCCATTCTACTTTTCAAAGGTAGTATCATTGCACGGACTTATGAAGTGAGAAAGGATTTGAAAGGAAATTCTTTTGTAATTAGAAATGACCTAAACGATATTTGTGGTTCATTATTATGAGAATAAAATCAGTTTTTAATTTATTTACCAGGCTAGGTAAGACACTTACGTATGGTGGCTGTAGTTCTGTTTCTCCCCTGGTCTTATTTCTGATCTCCTAAGTTACTGCAATGTATTCAGTGACAAACTTTAATCCCTCCAGTCATTCCATTGACCTGGATTCAGATATGAAGTCTTTGAGATACTTAGGTAAGTGCTGAAAGACTGCGTATCTGGGATGTGTAGACAGATCTCATGCCTGAGCAGAGGGTTGGACCAGAGGACCTCAGTGTTGCCGTCTGAGTCTAAACCCATTGCTCTAATTTAGTTCATTTCTGATGGATACATGAAAAGATGCTATAAAGCTAAATAGCCCAGGCCTAATGGCACCCCACTCCAGTACTCTTGCCTGGAAAATCCCATGGATAGAGGAGCCTGGTGGGCTGCAGTCCATGGGGTCGCTGAGAGTCAGGACACGACTGAGTGACTTCACTTTCACGTTTCACTTTCATGCACTGGAGAAGGAAATGGCAACCCACTCCAGTGTTCTTGCCTGGAGAATCCCAGGGACGGGGGAGCCTGGTGGGCTGCCGTCTATGGGGTCACACAGAGTTGGATACAACTGAAGTGACTTAGCAGCAGCAGCAGCAAAACACATTATCTTAATCAGAATGAGTTCATTCGTCTATTTATTATTTTTCCCCATTAAGAGGAAAATGTTTGTAAAAAATCAGGTAAAGAAAACATCATTTTTGGTTGCATACAATAGTATTAACACTTCATGTGATTGAAGAATGGCGCCTACCTAATCTGCCAAAAAATAATGTACTGACTGATCTCCCAATTTTTATTTTTAAAAAACAAAGTAACTTTTTGTGGAAGAAGCACCCAGAAGGGCTATTTCTGAGGACTGGAACAGAATAATACTTGAGGACAACTGTTTCTCCTATATCTTGTTTGGCTAGAAATCAGAAATCTTCTAGAATCATCAAGGAATTTCAGTTTGTTTTGAAATTAAGTGTGATTAAAAATATAAGAAGGAGGCAAAAGGTAATTCTGACATAGTCTGATCAGTCAGAAACTTTTGTCTGGTAATTGGCTGAAAACAGCACAAACTCTGATGCTTCTAGTTTCATAGCTGAAAGAATAAATTTATTGTAAGTCTAGATCTGAGATATAAAACAAATTTTCAGAAAATTTTGAGAATAAATAAACGTTAAAGATTTACCTTTTGGTCAACTTACCACTTAACACCCAGTAAATATTTATCAGACATAAATCTGGTTTCTGTTTTTCTCAGCCTATTTTGTAACTGGTTCAATATTTCTTTACTTTATTATCTATAAAGTAGCATATATATCCAAGTTCAGTTAATAAAGGTTTCAGGCCACCAGGGTTTGAATTCTGATCTCCTCTTTAAGCCTTGATTCTTCCAGACTTCCAGATTGAACTAAGACCCTAGTTAATGAAGTATTCCTAGAACTTCCACCAGCTAGTATTGTTTGGTTGGTTATTAATTTATGTCTTGTGAGTGTTATAAATAAGGTGACATCCTGAGATTACAATTAGAAGCCCCTTACAGCCCAGGTCCTCCTAACAATGTGGATATATCCCTGGTGGTTTTTATTCTCCAGGTCCTTCCCATCTCCAAAATCACCTTTGTGATATGTATTCTCTTCTGGGCCCCAAGCCCCTAGACCATTAACAGAAGCTTAGAATAAGGATAAGATAAATTTCCATAAAAGCCCAGCATACAAGATAGTGAAAATGTGGTTTTGCTTTTCTATAAAGCCTGCAATATCATCTCCCAGACCCCAAATGGAAAGTTTACACTGGTTGTGCCACACCTGCATCGCAACTGCAGCTTCTCCATCATTTATCCTGTGGCGATCAAAATATCTGATCTCACCCTGGGACACTTAAATGGTTTGCAGTTAAAGGTGAGTTGCTTATTGCTTCCCAGTCACTTCCTAAGGCCCCAGCAAACTTTTGAGAGCAAAAGTGATCATACAGGGCAAATGTGGATGAATAGGAGGGGTAGGCCCTTCTGTCTGACAGATTCATCTCTCACGAGCCTGCCGTCGCTGGTTGAATACATTCCTCTTCTATTTCTGTTGTGCTGCAAGCTGCATACTCAGGTGCCCCTTCTGCCTACTTGAATACTTTTCTTGTGATGTAAGAAATGTTTCCAACTGGCAAAGTTGTGGCATATAATTACAATTGAACTCTCTTGTACTCGCCTCTTTTACAGAACCTAGTGTGAGTCATCTACACAGCTGTTTTTCTGATTATTGGAATTTTCTTTTGACATGAAGGAAGTGTCTTCATTGACAGAACTGTGTGATGAAGGAATGCTAAGTGTAGCAGAAAATGTGAAATTGGATTTTTATACTGCAAAATACAGTAAAGTTCTGAAGCTTTTTTTTTTTTTTGCATTACATTTCATGTCATACATTTTGCAACAAAATATTAGCTGAGATTCCCCATCTACTTCCCCTGCTGTGAACTGCTGTATGGACTTTGCAATTGTGCTGACCTTGACCACATTTACTTGCACTGGCAGCTGTTTCCTCTGAGTCACCCTCACCTCCTTTTATGTTCTCATATGCCTAGGTTAAGATAATTGACATATTCATCGGCATCGAAGAAAGTCATCAAAGAAAGTTCCTAATCGAACAGAAGTGAAACCAAATAAATAAGACTAGAGCTGAGAAAAGCATTATATACAACTTCCTTTAAGCCCTAAACTCATAGGCTAGTGCTTATATTTTTTTAAGTTGAACCTTTGTGGAAGAATAATCCTTTGATAAAGACCAGGATAAGTGGATATCTCTGGCATAAACTTACTGGCTTGAGATTGTATGTCATTCTTGATGTTTAATATAGAAGATAGCAAGTATGATAGAGAGACCTGCATTTTAGCTATTTTTGGCTGTGAGGAGTAATCTTGGTGCTTACCATTTAAAACAGTGTGAAGTCTGCAGTGTTGCTTTGCAAAAAAAAATTTTTTTTTAAGATGCTTACTATGTGCAAGGACTTATTCTAAATGCTGGAAATTAGCAATGAACAAGACAGGTCCTGCTCACATGGAATTTACATGCTAGGGGATGAGACAGGCAAAAGAATAATATATTTCAAATAGTGATGAGTGCCCTGCAGACAATAAAGCAGAGTGGTGTGGGGACATCGTGGGAGAGAGGGCAGGCAACTGCTTGAGGTAAGATGGTCAGGAAAGAAACCTTTGGCAAAGGAGACATTTACAGTGAGATTTCAGTGATGGGTAAGGAGGAGTCGGCAGCCCCAGGAAGAGCTGGAGCAGAGCGACAGTAGTGCAGAGGCTCGGAGGCAGGCTGGGCTTCCTGAGTTCTAGAAACAGAAAGAAGGAAAGGTAGGGGGCCTGTGGTCTAACACAGCACCAGGGAGACAGGCAGGGCTGGGGTGGAGAGCCCAGCAGGTCATGCTAAAGAGTTAAAGAGTTTATGCTAAGCACAGTAGCAAACCACTGAAGGGGTTCAGGCATAATCCATCTGATCGTGCGCAGGTGGGTGAGGGTGGTTGGAATTGCTGGCTTCATGACCAAATTAATTGACAAAGTCCATGACGGGAAGGAGAGGATTACCTAAATGTCATTCTGGCTTCCATGGATGATGATGAATGAGCTGTAGGGGTCCAAGTGGTACAGGTTACACCTTAAAGGCCATTGTCATAGTCTAGGCAAGAGATGGAGTAACAGTCCAGGGAGGTAGAACCTCCACAAAAAAATCTAGAGGATCGTGGTCGAAGAGCTGAACCCCAGAGGTCCCTACACAGCTCAGCTTCTGCCCTTGTTTACTGAGGATAGCTGAGAGGTTTGGGAAGAGGAGAGAAAAGTCACGAATGCCAAGGAGTATGTGCTCCCAATCTCTCTGTTTCTGGGTTTTGTTCCCTTCATTTTGTTGTTGTGTTGTTGTTGTTGTTGGCTGCCCTGCACAGCATTTGGGGTCCTAGTTCCCTGAGCAGGGATTGAATCCATGCCCCTTGCATTGGAAGCATGGAGTCTTAACCACTGGATCACCAGGGAAATCCCTATTGCCTCATTTTAGTTTCTATTACTTCCCAACTTCCTATTTCCCGTTTCTCTCTCCTGAATCTGCCTTTTGCCCTTCACCTCATCCTGTGAAATTTGGAACCTATAGAGCCAGCTGGAATGTTTAGTCTTAAGTCATGTTCCCCCTGGACACTCTCTACTCAAGGGAAAGGCAATTACATTTTTTTCCCCTTTACTTCTAAATGGCTTATTCAGCTCTTCATACAAGAACATGAGCCCTGTACACAGTGGGGCTGAGTAATCCTGTATTTCATGGTTTGATGAAATGTGTAAAATGCATAGAACAAAGCACATAGTAGGTGCTTTAAATATGTATACCCCCCCCCACGCCTGCTTCCTTTCACTGAACAAATAGATGCTGTTACATTATTTTCTATTTGTTGTTTAGTTCCAGTTGCATTTCAATATCTTCCTAATGTTGGACTGTGTGTGTTTATGTGTGCGTGTATTCAGCACTCTGTTTTAGATTTTGGTTCCTATGTGGTATGGTCTGTCTGGTTAACTTCTAAGCATCTTGCCACACTCAGCTAGGTCTCTTGTGTGTACCTCAATGACGAAGAGGATCACAGGCAAAACTGATGGTGTAATTTGTGGGGGACAGCACAAAATGAAATTTTAAAATTTTATTTTAAAATTATTAAGAATTTCAAGATAGTGACAACAGAGTATTAAGCCCTGTGGATATGGGCAGTGTGATCCCGAGGCCAACCTGGATCACAGGAAGGGGTGGAGGGGGGTGGCTCTGTTTGCCTGGGACACTGAAGCCCAGGAAGTTCTGTAGACGAGACAGAGTGGAAAGGATGAAGGGAAGCAGAAAAAGCTGGTTACAGGTGGATCACACGGACTTTTAGACTAGAAATTATTTCGAATAGCTTGAAATAAATTTGCTTTAGTTGGATGGAGAAAGTTGATGGTAACTCTAGCTAATTTGAGCCCAAATGAGGGTTCTCTTTTTTCTTTAATATTCTTATAACTAATCTAAATCCTTATCAGTAGAAACGTAAGAATTGTCTCCATAACAAAAAAAAAGTCTTTTATAAAGAAGAGGAAAAGAGGTAAGTTGAAGGAAAAAACTGATATGGAAGCCCTATTTATAAAAACGCTGACTGCATGTATTAAGAAATTCAAATAATTCAGTATGTATGTCCAAATGATTTAAAAATCAAACCACTTTTAGTTGCAATTTTTATATACTGTATATGGAGTTTAAAGATTCTCATTTCATGATGTTAGTCCTTGCACTTGTGAAAAATGTTTTTAAAATGCACACACATTTTAAAAAATGATTACTCAACAAATTTAGAAAAGCAATTCCTATTTTTTTTTTCTTTAACAAGTCTTAATTTTCGGAGTCTTGGATGTTAAATTAAACGGTACTTCCAGGATGTCTGGGACTAAAGGAGTGAATTCACCAATTTGCCGTTGGTTTGACTTCAGTAGGTGATTTAAATACGTCTTCCTCTGCTGCTTTGTTCTCTTAGAAGTCCTCCGCAGGCTGTGGGGGAATAGGAGACTTTGTGGAGCTGCTGGGAGGAACTGGTTTGGACCCTTCCAAGATGCTGCTTTTAGCTGATCTCTGCTACCCTTTACATGGCCCAGGTAAGTTGGTTCTTTGATTATTATTTATGTGCCTATTAATATTGTTTTACCCTGATGCTGGGAAAGACCGAGGGCATGAGTTTGAGCGAACTCCAGGGGACAGTGAAGGACAGGGAAGCCTGGGGTATTGCAGTCTGGTGGGGTCGCAGAGAGTCAGACACAACTGAGTGACTGAACAACAACAAGATTGCGTCCTTAAATAAAAGACTTCAAATTATTTATATGGGAAAGGGCAGGTTCCACCAAAAAAACTTTGATTTTGCATATTGAACCAATGTGAGGATTTTGCATTCGACCCTATACACAGTATCAAGAATGCATGACCACAATATCTGACCCTGGGAGAGAAACTTATGAAGTGACGAACTAGCCTGTTTTAGGTTGGCCCCAGGTAAAACTATGAGAATGGCATAGAACTGTGCTCGTTCTGCCTTCTTGAGAGTCCCTGCTTTCATACCCTCGAGACTAAAGGGTTTGCTGTCTGAAAACCATGGTTCATATAGTGTATGTATCATCAATTAGTAATAATATGATAAAGTAATATCTAAGTCATTTTACCATATATATGTATATGTGTGTGTGTATTACTCATAGTAAATACATTAAAAAGTGATTCACTTTATTAGAAATTCTCAGAACTGATAGAATGTCCCCAAGTTCTAACAGCAAACCCAGCCTCTGAAAGACCACTGCCAAAAGAGAAGTCATTCTGAAATCTAAAAGTGGTCGCTGGTAATAAAAGACCAGGTTAGCTCATGGGAGGCACCAAACAGAATCAGGTCTTCTTTATTATGAATCAGTGAGGAGTTTCCATTTGATCAGGCTCAGGTGGGGCGGGGTGAAGGTGTAATTGCTGACTCATGACCAAATTAATTAATGAAGTCCAAGTGGGGAGAGAGAGGGATATGTGAAACCTTTCTTTAAAGGTCTCCCATTTCTGTCCTTCCGATGCAGGAACCAGTGACTATCGATTAAGAGACAAAAGTCAAACAGAAGAGAAATCTTTCGTCCCTTATCATAGCCCCCTTCCTCTCTTGTAAGCACACATCACACACCAACTAAATAACGAAACTGCAAATCAGACCTCCTTTTGATCCGCTCTTACCTGTTTTAATTAAACCCAGATCTGCCCACCAGTATTTTCACTCTCTGAGCTAATGCTGGGATCATAAGCAAAACCTCTCTGGAATAGAATTAATATACACAGGTAAAGGGAAGATATTTCTCAAAACCCACTTTGCTAAAAATCTGGGGCTAGTTTGTTAGTTTACACTTGAGCCCTGGTTTAAACCAGTGGCTTCTCTCCCTCTGTGTTCTCAAAGGCACTGGATCCTTCCATGCTGATGGAGGGCACCTGTGAGGACATCTGTTTGGGCCAGATAAAAGGATTGGCTTGAGAACTGGTCTAACACTCGTCCCTTAAAATTTAGATCATTGAAGCTAGAGTAATTTTGGTGCGTGAATTATATACTTTGGTTTAGGTAAATGTGTGTGTATGTGTGTGTGTGTGTGTGTGTGTTAGTCCGACTCTTTGCGACCCCATGGACTGTAGCCCACCAGGCTCCTCTGTCCATGGAATTCTCCAGGCAAGAATACTAGAGTGGGTTGCCATTTCCTTCTCCAAAAGGGTATGATCAAGGCCAAATATTTTGCCTGTTTTATCTAAATGATTGAAACCAGTCTTACGATAATTTGAAGGCTTGAATTATCTGACTCTTGGGTTCATTTTAGACTTCACTTTTTTCTTTCATTCATCATGTTTCCATGAGCCCCTCCTTAAACTGTTCATACAATGAACTCTTAGGTATCCTGCCCTTTAGATTAGATTGAATTAGGAATATGTCAAATAATAAATAAATGATATGCACGTTAACTAAAGGAAATAAGGCACATTATGTAGATTAAAGTTCAGAGTAAGATCAGAAAAGAATGACCTTCCCAATCATTTAAAGAAAATTAACTTTGGACCTCATCATAGAAGCTTAGCCTAGACTCCTTGGCGCTTATATTAAAATAATTACAGGATTTATATTTTATTATCTCTCCAAATTGACTTTTACCTAAATAACTCTATCTGGCTGTTTTACTTCATTTAAACCCAGGTGCATGTTTTTGAAGTAGTTGTTATACAAGGATGATAATGTTTCTCAGAATTTAGTCCTTATAGAGACAAAGAGGGGGAAAAAGGTTGAGAAAGTTAAAATAGCAGGAAGGATTATTGTAGGGTAGATAAATCTTGCCTCAGGAACCAGCTTGAGGTTGAAGAAATAAACTAAAAATAATTTTTAATAAATATACTGAGTTTCACAGAACAGAAACTCATGTAGGTACAAACAGTTGGTTGCCAGAAGGGAAGGGAGTGGGAAATGAAAAGAAAAAAAGGTAATTCTGTGAGGTAATGAATGTTAATTAGCTTGATTGTAATGATCATTTCACAGTGTGTATTTATATAAAAGCATCATGTTGTACACCTTAAATACATACAATTTCTCTCAACTATACCTCAACAAAGCTGAAAAAAATTTAACCCCCTCCATTATTCTTGCCTGGAAAATCCCATGGACAGAGAAGCCAGGCAAGGATTGCAAAAGCCATTCCATGTAAGAAATACAGGAAAAAAAATTAGAAAAAGTACAGGTGAACAATAGAAAGAAAAATTAGTACATTTAGTCTATGTCTAAACTATGCAAATGCTACTTTTATTTATATGTAAAACAGAATCATTATCTAGGCTAGAAAACAATAAACAGGTGATATTCTTGGTCTACATAACTGTCTAGCAGTACAGTTCATCCTTCAGCCCTGCCCACGAAATGCCACGTTCGCCCCCAAATAGAAGGAAAAAAAACCAGCCCCTGCAAATTTCCAACCTGTCTCAAGTGGGCAGCACTGCCCCCCACTGAGAATACAGCTAGAGGAAAGTCGCGGCAGGAACAGGCGGACGCTCGCCTTCATCTGCCTTCACCACCAAGCCTTGGAGGTGGGAGAACATAAAAAGCGCAAGGAGGTATCTTCTTACTTCTTATAGTCAGCTTTATCTGACTGACAGTGTTCTCGCACACGAGGAGAAAGGCTGAGTTCAGTTTCACTTCTCAACAACTAATTAATTACAGAGTTGACTCGTGAACAGCAGGGGTCTGAACTTCTCAGGTCCACTTACACAAGGATTGTTTTTGGTAGTAGATAACACCACCCTGGGTTGGTTGAACCCGAGGATGTGGAACCTCTGATCTGGAGGAACTATGGATGTGGAGGAGAGATGATAAATTATATGCAGATTTTCACCTGTGGGGAGGGTCCTCAGTCCTAACATGCAGGTTGTTCACGGGTCAGCTGTATACTATAATAAAAAATGAAAACAAAACCATTTCACCTGATGGTGGATGCTTGGTTTGAGTATGTGAGAGGAAGCTACATCTCCTTGCTTTTGCTCTGTTTAAATGATCTTGTGGACAGAAATGGCTTGGCTATGTGGTTTCTAACCTACTGGGAAACTTACTTTTTCCATGAATTATAGCCCAGATGAAAGTTGGCTGTGACCACACGGTGGTGCGCATGGTCTCCAGTGGAAAGCATATAAATCGTGTGACTTTTGAGTATCGTCAGCTGGAACCATACGAGCTGGAAAACCCGAATGGAAACAGTATCCAGGAATTCTGTCTGTCTACTCTTTGAATAAACAAATCAGTGATTTCCATGCTGCTAGCTAAGGGAGTCTTTAATGGCTATTATATATGACTTTGATGAGCAGCTAGTTAAGAACCTTTCACACCAGTCAGTATTCCTCACTTTGAGCACATATCACACAGACTAATTTTTGTACTTTGCTTCTTTTTCATTTGTTATATAAATGACCACATGGCAGATAATAAGCCCCTCTCCCTTGCTAGAAAAACAGTATCCTGTAATTCTTTTATATGCTATCAACCTGAACTAGTAAGACAAGTGCAAAGAAATGTGCAATAATAACTTGTATCACAAGGGAAAATCCTACAAAGAAATAAAAATGATGGCGTTATCAGTTTTATAACAGAAAATGCATGTCTGTGTATACCAAAGTAGTAGCATTTGTTTATTTTCTGCTTATTCTGTTTATAGTAGAGAGTAGGTGTAGCTGGTATTATTTATTGATTTGTAACAGCTTGTTTTTAACAAACATTTGTAGCATGGAAAACATTTTGCAATCGTAAATACAAGCATGAATAAACATATTCAGAACGTTGGCACCTCAGCATCCTGCTTTGTTTCCCTGAGTAGTTAGTTACCTTACTACCATCAGAAAATAATGTTCTCAGGTGAGAACCAAATGCTGAACTAAATCATTTTAGACTTCTTAGAGCTCAGAGAACTCTGGGTTGGTAAGTAGAATTATTAGGCGCCAAAGGTAAAATTTCAGCGTTTGCACAAACAGTGCTAACTGATTTGTCGTGATAGGGAAGCAGGATGTGGGGATCACTTTTCCACTCTTCTCCAAGAAAACTGAGAATACATGTCTTTGCCACAGTGACGAGTGTACTTTTCAACAAGGACCACAAAGGCCTTAAGCATAAATCTGAGTACTTTTTGGGTACTGAAGACAGTTTATTGTTGACTAAGCCTTTTCCACTATCAGCTTGAGACCAAGTCTTTGCCACAGTGAAGAGTGTACTTTTCAACAAGGACCACAAAGGCCTTAAGCATAAATCTGAGTACTTTTTGGGTACTGAAGACAGTTTATTGTTGACTAAGCCTTTTCCACTATCAGCTTGAGACCAAGCATGTGGGCCCATAAAAAGACACCTTGAGGTTGGAAATAAAGTCTTGAGAAACAAAGGAAATACTCCAGAGTGAACAAGTCCTCTTTGGATTAATGGATGAAAACTGCAAACTGTGCTATTACTAATGGCTTGATTCTGGGTCCCCAAACATATTTAATATAAAGTTAATTTTATAATGGAATGTACTGGAATCCCATATACTGGGATTGTTAATGAAATCTGGCAACCTGGCAGAAAGAAAAATAGTGACTGACAATACTAAAAATACCCAGGTTTGAGCCTGAATTTTGTCTCAGTAGATATTCTGGAATGAGTAGATATTTAGCAAATGGGTGAATAAATGCCTAAATGGATAGATGGATAAATGCTGGGATGAATGAATAAATGTCTAAACAGATGGCTATATAATCCCTGATTAGTTATGTAAGATGTTGGATTTCTTATTTTATAGAAAATAAATTCCATGAAGTTGAACCCTTTTATCTTTTTCACAGTCCCTCTAGCGGCCAAAGAATTAATGCAGTCGCTTATATCACCATGGGAAGTTTCTGGCTCTTAACCCTCATGATCCCCTTATTCTAAGCAGGGAAGGTAAATGGTCCGAGGTCAGGAGGCAAGTATTTTTATCATGGAAGTTAGGACAAGTTGTTTTTGTCCCTGAGGAACATCTTGCAAATGACTTAGCCTCTCTGCACTGAAGTGCGTGGGGCTGTGGTCCCTACGGTTTTTTCTAATCTTGACGTTATGCAGTCATTTATTTGTGACGTGTGACTTCAGAGCGTGTTACTGCATATTAGAGTACACTCTTTGAGAGGACAGTCACTCCAGTGAACTGTCTGTGACTTATTCTTTGGATATCCATGACTTAGTCTTCATTCCAAAAGGATGGGATGGCTTTCTAGAAACAAAATTGCAGATGAGCTCTCAGGAGAGGGGGAGAGTGTAAGTCTTCACTGGCACTGCCATTAAGAAAATAATATGTTACATGAAATTCTGGCTAAATTTGACTTTCTAAATAAAAAAGGCAGTATGCATAGTGGCTAAGGTTGTCACCTCTATAGCCAGACCTCTTTGAATCCCAGCCCTGCCACTTACTTGAGCAAGTCATTCATAAGTCTCTATTGCTCAACTTTAAATCCGTAAAATTGGGTAAATATATATATATGTGTCTATATGTATATATAGCTCTAGCGCTGTGTCTTGTACATGTTAACTGTCATTTTTATTTTTAATTCTCACTGGTAAGCAAATATGCTGTCCCAGCTCCTCCATATTTTCAGTGGGGCATTTGCTTATGCTCTGAAGGGCATGTACTGATTCAGTTGTCTTATTTCATCCCAGAACCCTTGTCAGGAAGTTAGGATCAGTTAGGGCTGTTTTCTGGGACCGTGAAGCAGAGTAAGGTTACTGATAACATTTGAGGGCAGATGATGGCAGGTCTTATCAGTTTCCCCGTGTCTCCCCTCCCAGCCAACCCTGTCTGTAGGCTCTGAGCAGCTCTAGCACCAATGCTGATCTCAAATAGGAGGAATCGGCATAGCTCTTGTCCACCACGCTGGTTAAGAAGGACTCAAGTCACATATGGTCTGCTTGACCCCCTACCATTGTGCCCAGGCCACATCTCTAGAATCTTCCTAGCTCTTGGTTATTTCATCCTAGCTCTTGTCTGACTCTAATCTTATCCTCCAGTCCAAACCCCACATCTCCTAAATACTAAATGAGTGACTCTGGCTCTACTACTGACTAAGGAAATTCCAAGTTCCTGCTGCCTCTGTGTCTGAAGGCCTGAACGTCATTGCTCAGAGGTTCTGCGTCACTGTGCCCACTGCATCCTCTAGACCCTTCTCTGCCTCCTCTGCCTGTCTTCCAGCCTATTACGTGTGGGACACATTGGCCTGGCTATGATACTGGACTCTCTCCCAGTGTCTGAAGGAATATGTCTTCTTCATCTCCAAACTCTTCCTGGCACTGCTGTTTTCACTTACGAGAATAGGGCAGAAATGTGCTGTGTTCACCACAAGGTATATTTCTACCTCCTGAGTATGCAGGTAGACTACATTTTCTAACCTCCCTTACAGTTAGATCTAGTTCTGTGACTGAATTTCGACTGAAGGAGTACAGGTCAAATGATGTCCAATCCTCATGTGATCCTCCATACCTACTTTCTCTTCCCTTATCTATTGGCAAGATATTTAAGTTATAAGAGAGGACTTCAAGGCCAAATAAGAAGACAGAGTCATAAGTTGCAAGGAGACTGGATCCTTGAATGATCTCATGGAAGGCTGCCTGTTGACTAGGAATTGGATTTTATGTGGATCTTTGCAAGAAAAGTCTGTCTAGTCAAAGCTATGATTTTTCCAGTTGTCATGTATGGATATGCGAGTTGGACCATAAAGAAGGCTGAGTGCCAAAGAATTGATGCTTTCGAACTGTGGTGCTGGAGAAGACTCTTGAGAGTCCCTTGGACTGCAAGGAGATCCAACCAGTCCATCCTAAGGGAAATAAATCCTGAATATTCATTGGAAGGACTGATGCTGAAGTTGAAGCTTCAGTAGTTTGGCCACCTGATGCAAAGAGCTGACTCATTAGAAAAGATCCTGATGCTGGGAAAGATTGAAGAGAGGAGGAGAAGGGGAAGACAGAGAATCAGATGGTTGGATAGCATCACTGACTCAATGGACCTGAGTTTGAGCAAGCTCCTGGAGATGGTGAAGGACAGGGAAGCCTGGCTTGCTGCAGTCCACGGGGTTGCAGAGAATTGGACACGACTGGGCCACTGTACAACAACAACAACAAGGAGTAAAAAAAATTTTTTTTGGTTCAGCTACTGATATGGTGATAATGACGATTTTGGCATAGCATTCAGTGTTACTGTGGGCCTGTCTAAATCCAGTTCTCAGCTGTTCTCTGTCTGGTTTTTTGTTTTTTTGTTTTTTGTCTTTATCTGTCTGGTTTTGCTTGTTTGTTCTTTGTCTGTTTGGTTTTGCTGCAACTGTCCAGATAGTCCTGATCTGTCTTCCAAAGAAACATACCTCAAATGCACATCTTTGATCTCATGAACACTGGACTTGAGCTGATATCATTGCACTCAACTTTCCCATCTGTCTTTAAAAATCTTCTAAGAACGGTGATTCTTAGATTAAACTCCTTTGAAAATTGGCCAGTAACTACAGATCATCTCCCAGAAAAAAAAAAAAAAGAGGAAAGCCTGTATACATAAGAACAGCTCCAAATTTCTAAGAATTCACAAATCCCTGAAGCCCATAAAGGTTTCAAAATAAAAATCCCTTCTCTAGGAGAAAATAATGGGTAAAAATAAATTCTATAGCAGTCTTCTGAAACTGCACTGCCCTCCCTTAAATATTAGTTTAAAGCATTCTTTGCTTCATTTGGCAGCAAAGTAAGTCCATGATAGCAACTTAATGTTTCTGGTTTTATATTTAAATATTTAACTTTGCCTTTGACTCCATGGGTTTTTCTGCCCTGCTTTATAGTTTTTTTCTCAGGGAGGAAATATATTTGACATGGGACAAATTTTTGTGACAAAGATTGTTCCAGGTCTCTCCCAACTCCAAACTTTCCTCTCTTGCTATTTTAGTAGAGTGGCAACATTATCACGGCCTTCCCTCATGGTTCAGTGGTAAAGAATCTGCCTGCCAATGCAGGGGACTCGGGTTCAATCCCTGGGTCAGAAATATCCTTGGAGAAGGAAATGGCAACCCATTCCAGTATTCTTGCCTGGAAAATCTCATGGACAGAGGAGCCTAACGGGCTACTGTTCATGGGGTTGCAAAAGAGCTGGATACGATTTAGTGACTAAACAACAACAGCGATATTATAAAAGTTGACCATGATGAACATCGCAGCACTGTTTATAATAGCCAGGACATGGAAGCAACCTAGATGCCCATCAGCAGA